GTGTGCTGCATTGAGCTGATCACTTAGCAGTACGTCTCTTAAAGCTTGACAGTCAGTCTCGATTTCTACCGGTGTCTTGCTACTTAAGGGTCTTATGTACAACGCGTGTATAGTGACAACACAACTATACAGGATAAGACTTCTTGCCAGTCCTTAAGTACATGGTCTACGACTTTTCTAGTTTTCGTGGTAGATAACATGTGAGTTCTTGGGAGGGTTTACTGACGTGTCCTCTTCTTGTTGTTCCCTGGTGGAATTACTTGTAGATTCCCTAATGTTCTGATAGTAAGATCTGTTTCAATCTCGTAGGTCGTGTCTCAACCTATGAAAGTCTGTCTCAACTTTGTCATGTTTCTCGTGTCTCCCTTCCTGAAAAAGAGAGAGTCTGTCTTAAAATACGTGAAGCCTAGTTAGAAAGCTGTTCTGGTGTTGTATACTCAACCCCTGTAAGGTAGTACACAACAAGTAAATGAAGTCTGTCTTAAATACGTAAAGCCTAGTACAAAAGCTGTTCTGGTGTTGTACACTCAGCCCCTGAAAGGTAGCACACAACAAGTAGTTTATAAATAGATTGTTATATAAGCGACCCCCTGTAAGGTAGTATACAACTCATCTCTGATACGATGTTTATCTTACTTCAAGGCACTCTTGGCCTGCACTTTAAGTCTTACGGACTCTCACGGTTTGAGAGAAGAGTGAAAAGTGGGAAGTTATTTATTTGTCACGAATTCCAAACACAAATCATTATTCTTTCTTGAACACTCGTGAAACCTCTAAAGACATTCGTAAGACACCCGTTAAGCGCCCATCACAAGCGCCTGTCGTTAGTGCTCAGTCAGCGTCTGTACCGATAACCTTCACAAACCCTAACCCGAACCCATCCTTTTCATACCCGAGCTTCTCTATTCCACTAGCGCCCACTACCTTTATCTCCGACATTCCCGATTTCGACTTCCTTTCACAAGCGATCAAGTCACGTGACTCTAGAACCTTCGAGAACCCTTGCACAGCTGTCACACGTTTCATGACATCATAGGTGTAGTTATATTTAGATCATCGTACGATTCCCTTTTCTATTTAATGATTGGTTAGTTAGTTCATTCTCAGATTCAGTCTCCGTTTCAATATATGTATATAGTTAGCTCGTTGTAGTCAGTAGTTCTTAGTTCAAACCTCTTTTGTATTAGCTCACTGCTAGCAATCCTAAGACGTCCCTGCTCATTATACTCTTTTCTTGTTGTGATAACCTTGTTTGAGTCCTAGTCTCTGCCCCTGCGTTAATTCGTTATAAGGGTTGTGACATTATTTAGTACTCTTGTATACTAAATAATACACTGATAGTAGTAACTCATTTGTAATATACTTGTAGCATAGTTGCTACTTTCCCTAGGCTTTCAATGCCAGATACTAACAGACAGTGATGACTGATTCTCATGCTCATATTGTAATCCAACTTCTCACTGAGTGAGGGAAGTCTCTCTCTGATATCCTTGTTATCTGCCCTGGACTTACTATTCGTGGCCAGCTAATAACAGACAATTTATCTCTGGGCAAGGATTCGAACGTGCGTCTCTGTTTACTTCAAAGGCTAGACAAAGGCCTACACTTAAACTCTACTAACTTCCACATGAGAGTAGAGTACAAGTGGGAAGCTATTATTACTCAGTGTAGAATGGGCTCCTTTTATACCTTTTTGGGAGGCCATTTTACTAAGCATGACTCATCACGGCATTAGTAAGTCACTGGCTTACTAACCATGCCATTTGGCAGTGCTGAATCAGCTGCTTACAAAGTAGTTTACAAATAAAGTTTCATAATATTACAAAGCATGATAAATCATGACGAAGCATGACGAAGCATGACCAATCATGACAAATCCTTACAAATCAGATTATTGCCTATCACATGACATGCTTACAAACATATCTGGTGGCTCACTGAAGGATTCTGTGGCTGAATGAGCCTGAAAACAAATAGAAACAAATGGAAACAAATGGAAGCCACATGACAAATCATGCAGGATCCTTACAAAGCAGAATATTGCCTATCACATGACATGCTTACAAACATATCTGGTGGCTCACTGGTGGCTGAATAAACCACATAAAAGAAAGGGGAAAGGTGAAAACTATCATACTGGAAATATAAATACAAGTAAATCTGTCAAAATGGAACCAATCATAATAATACAATGAGGTACACCTTAGTGTACTCTCTGTAGCTACTTCCTGTCTATCAATGTCATGGTATGAGTTCCATACCATGCATGACACCGGGAAGCCCCAAACAATATCTGAGAACTTATCCAATCCGAACTTCAGTGCCACAAACTCTAGTATGAAAGGTTTGTACTTCTGTTCTGTGGTTGATGTCCGTTTTGATGTGAACGCTATAGGCAGCAGGCGTTCTATCCACTTTCCCGAAGGTCTTTGCATGCGTGTTCTTTGCGACAACACCGCTGCTAGTCCTTCTTGGCAGCCGTCGGATGTTACTATGAATGGTGACCCGTCATACTTTGGTGCTTGTAGTATAGGGCGCTCTACTAATGCGGCTTTCAGGTCTAAAAACACTTTAGTATGCTCCGGTGTCCATCGGTTGTCGAGTTTGTGGTTTCTCAGGATACGTCGGTACGTGTTCTTGGTGTATGGGTGTGTTAACGGTGCTTCTTTGACTAAGTTGCGCAGCGGCCCTTCTCTTTTCGCATATTCTAGCACCAGATCCCTAAAATGACTAGTTAGCCCCAAGAATGATTCTAAATTAAGTGCGTCTGCTGGCCGTTCCCAGTTTACGATAGCTGTTAACTTCTCAAGGTCCGGTTGAACTCCTCTTGGCCCTACTGTTGCTCCTGCAAATGTCGTTTCTGTCATGAAAAGTCGACATTTTGTGGGTGATAAGGATAGTTTCCGGTCCCGACAATGTTGGAAAATGTGTTCTAATTTCCCAAACATCTTGTCGAATGTGTCGCCTGCACTTCCTCCGTCATCCACGAAAATTTCCATGGTAGTATCTGCTATTAGGTCATGTAGGTGGTTAGCTGTCATTTCGCAAAACGTGGTGGGTGCTCCGGTGAGTCCCATTGGCATATGCTTATACCAGAAATAACCTCGTCCTTCCACGTAGAAAGCTGTATATGGTCTGGACTCTTCCGGGACCTCGACAGCGTAAAATCCGGATGCGAAGTCAAATACTGACACGTACTTGTGTCCACTTAGCCTTAGTTGCTTGGCTCGTATGTCCCCTTGCGGCATCGGCGCTATAATGGTGTGTCTGTTAACTTCGTTAAAGTTCTGACAAATTCTCCATTTCTGCGGCTTGTCATTTGTTACTTCTGGGGGTGCTTCTTGGACTTCGCGTTCTGGTAGTGTAAACGCTGGTGGTTGACCGTGTTGTGTGTACTGCTCGTTGACCTTGTGTTGCAGTTCCTCTAACGTGAGTCCACCTTGCTCGTGTGCTTTCTGTGCTAATACTGTGGTGGCGCAGCATTTAACTAGCTCTGCTGGCGCCTTTTCGATTATATCTGCCGCTAACATCTTGTCGATTCTGCTGTGTAGGAACTGAGCTTGCGGTGGCGTAAGGGCTCACTGACGGATGCGTAGATTGAATGTGGCATCCTCTGGTATGTTCAATTGGTGCTGGGCTCCTGGTACTGGAAGAATCTCTGAAAGTGAGCATGCAAATATGTCTGCGTAACTTTCCACTAAGTCTTCGACTCATTTGTGTTCTTCCTCCGTAAGTGCTTCCCCATATTGGACTGCCTTCACAATATAGGCTATTCGTTTCGGGTTCTTTGGGTCCGTTACTCTGGTGAAGACCGTTGCTTCCTCCCCGTCTTCTGTTGTGACACAGACTGGGGCGTTTGTTCCTAAATTTATTTTTTGGTCAGTGCTTGTTTCTAGATATGCGTTTCGATTTCTGAATGGACTTCTCTTGCGTGGTTGTGCTCTTTTCCCCTTATTACATCTCCTTCTTGACCTTGATTGTAGATTGTCTTCGATCCTCCTTCTCCTGCTATGTGCACTATGTCTGTTTCGTATTCGTGTATCGCCCGGAATGCACATAGTAATGGTTTCCCAAACAGGAACTTCCATCCGCCTCCCGCTATTGAACACCTCGAACTCTCCTTGCGTCTTGATTCCTTCTATCTCTACTTCGCCTCTCCATACTGCTTTGGAGGGGATGATTGTGCCATTCGCCATGTGTAATCGCTTCGTCGATGTTCCCCAGCTTCCTAGTAAGTGTTTTACTTTTTTCGAACGCTGTTGTACACATTGCGTTGACCATGGCACCTTCATCGAAAAGTGCCTTGATTTGTATCTCTTCTCCTTGCGCTCCCTTGAATGAGACGTTTTGCAGGAATGGTTGACATTTGCAGTAAGTCTCTTCATCGTCCGTCGAATACAACTCAACAACATCATATTGCTCGCTAGAATGAGGCTGCATAGTGACATACTCTGTATGGCTGGCGTTTTCGACAGAGGTATAGTGCTTGTCCTCGTGTGTCTCCTCTTGACACGCGAGGACAGGTTGTTCCTTATCCTGAGGTACTATGTCCATTTGGGTCGTTCAGTTGTCCTCTACACCAACGACCCTTGGCCTTTTCCCTGTTCCGCTACTTCTGGGGCGAAGATCTCCTCGAGCACATAATTGACTTGTAGCGCTGTTGCTCTATTGAATGCTCCGAGCGTTCTAGTGCATATGCCTCGCCAAATCGTTTCGTTCTTTGGCAATTGCGCGTCTGGTGGTAACTGACACGCTGGGCTTATGTGTCCGTGTGCTCCACACCGGAAACACTCTCCTGAACAGATTTGTGCCGTGCCTGGCGTTAGCGGGAATGGTGTGTTCTTGGTGCATCTCGTTCCTTCTCCCCATCTCGCTGCCCACTGTCTTCTCTGCTCATTATAGGTTGCTTGTCCCGCGTCTTTGTCTGTGTGGTGCGGTAGTTCATTGATTCGTGCCTGTAAGAAGTCTCGTTCTTCTTGTGTGGGCATATTCCGCGCTGCTCATTGTCCCGTCTGAGTTTGGTTGGCCGCTGTGTAGCGTACTTGTCTTCTAGCGACCTGTGCTTGCTGTGAGGTAGGGTTTCCTGTTGTCATTCTGGTCTGTGGTGCTGCTAATCCCATTGCTCTTGTAGGGCCGTTCGTTTCGAGTGTTGCTTGCTGCATTTGCAGCTGTAGGACTTCTACTGGGTCATTCCGGTTGCTCTCTAGACGAGCGATACGTGCGTTCTGCTGCCTTTCTACCTCCTTTCTCTCCTTTGCTCGTTTGGCCTTGTCTTGCAGAATGTCTACATTGACGTTTGCTATTTCCGTCAAGAACATGTTCCAGTCTGGTGGCGCAGGCGTTGTAAGGTCTCGCAGGACTCGAGGAGTGCATCTCGGACTTGGTGGATTAAGACTGGTGCGTTTGCTACGCCTGCGTCTTGTACTAACATTGTGAGCTGATTATGGAAGTGGATATGGGACCAGGTGGTGATTTCGGCTAAGGTGATGCATTCTCCTACATCTTCGTCTCTCAACCGTAATGCTAATAACTCTCTCTGATACTCCAGTTGGGTCTTTCCTGCTACTGCTATTGCTGGCCATTTTGTCTCAAAGGCTGTTCTGATGGCTGTCCATGTGGTCTTGTGTTGTGCATCAAGGTTCGTCCACCAATGGTCTGCTTGTGATCCTGCTGAGATCAGCGCAGCGAATAATGCGACTTTGATAGCCTCGTCTACGATCTGGTTGACCAGAAAGTATGCTTCTGTGCTCTGTAGAAAGTTCTGCGCATTCTCGTTTTCCTTCCCATGAAACAATGCTGGTAACGGGACACCTGTCATTGTGTTCACTGATTCGTTTGGTACGGTTGGGAGGGTGACGGTTGGTGCGAGTTTCTGAGGCTGAAAGCTTGGTAGGATTATTAATGGATCTGGTGCTCCCGGTAAGGATTCTTCGTCATCATCTTTGTCATTGTCTGCTAACTGTCGTATGACCTCGTGCTCTGACTCCTCGTGCTCGTATTCTTGTTCTAGTGCTCTTTGGTTGATTTCCGGGTGTTGGAATAACAAGCACGCACTAAGCCATCAAACCTTATACCCTTGTCTCGTATGTTCACTCTATTGTCTCATACTCGTGCTTTATGCGCTCTTATATGTTGATTCACCTTTTGTACTTGTGACTCCATTGACTGCTTTGGCCAGTGCCAGGTGTACCATTATGTATGTTTCAGTCTCGTTTACCTCTAACAAGACCCGTTTTCTCTATTTAATCAGTGTATATTGGACTTGATACCTCAGACGTTCACATCCGCGTGCTCGATCTGAGGTATGACACTTTGTTTTCACACATATTCACCTTTGCTAACTAGTCTTAGTGTATCTGTTCTTAATAGGTGAATATTGATTAGACGTTCACATCCGCGTGCTCGATCTGAGTGTATCTGTTCTTAATAGATCCACGCGAGAAGCTTGTACTAAGCTAAAAGGTTATGAGCCCTGAGCTCTAAAGATTAACCTACACGTCTCACCTTCCCTGCAAAACGATCCATTGCTGCAATGTCCACTGCCGTTCCGGTCACCACTGATACCCTCCCATCAAACGTACCCAAACTCGATATCAAGGGTACAAACTGGGCCATATTCTCGTTGCGTTTTCAAGTCGCTGTCGAGGCCAAGGAGTTATGGAGGTTCTTCGACGGGTCGTGTCCCCGTCCAGCCTCACCTGTAAGCGCTACAGAAGTAACTGTCTTAGAAAAGTGGCGAAAGAACGAGAACCTTGCAAAGCACCTACTCACCCAAAGAATCCCCGACTCCACAGCACTGCGCATTCGAAATCTCGATAGCGTCACATCTATGTGGGCAGAGATCGTACGTGAGTACACAGAGAAGGGCGCATATGCACAAACTGACCTTCGAACAAAGTTCCTCGAGTCGAAGTGTCCTGCCGGTAGCGATGTACGCCAGTTCTTAGACGAACTGCGCGCAAAACGAGATGAGTTATCAGCAGTGGGTGTTGACATTGAAGAAAAAGATTACCGATCTACAATCATTCAATCCCTTCCAAACCACCTCGCTAGCTTCGCCTCTGGACAATTAGCTACAGCTCGGCTCTACAGCACCACCCAGACCATAGCCCCAGACATTCTAATCTCTCTCATCATTGAGGAGTCAGAACGCCGAAATCGCAAGGACAGTCGTTCCGCGCGAGGAAATAACTCCAACCGTGCTTCTGGAGATAACGAAGCAATGGCTTCGACGGATGCGCCCCAACGTGGACGGGTGGTTCCCGTGGCAATAAAGGGTCAAAGAATGGAAAGAGCACTGGCGGGCGTCAACGCCCGCCATGCTGGAACTGCGGATCTCGCGAACACTTCAAAGCTGACTGCCCCGAACCAGAAAAGAACCCTGGCAGCAATGCTGGCACCAAAGGTTCTGCCAATGCAGCAGCTGAGGAAGACTCTGAGGACGATGCTGTATTTGCAGTCGACTCCGCCTCATCCTGTTCAATCCCCAGCCTTCTTTCCACCGAGTCGTCAGATGATGATGCCGAAGAACGGTCAAACTTCATCAGCACCGATGAAGATTGGTTTTCGGAGATAGATGAGGACGACGTACCTCATATGAGCGACTGGGAAATGGAACCAGCAGCCATACACAGTGAAAGCGACACAGACAGCTGTGAGGAAGTCGCCGCCAAGGTAGCCGTTGAGCAAAAAGATGGCGCCATTGTCGAATTATACGACTCTGGCACAACGAGGCATATCTCGCCATATCGTGAGCAGTTCAAAACTCTCACCCCCATCCCGCCCAAGACTTTTGCAGCCGCAAATAAGCAGCGCTTTGATGCAACTGGAATCGGAGAACTTGTCATTGAAGTACCTAACGGTGTAGACGTTTCAAAACTGACACTCACTGAAGTCCTCTATTCCCCCGCTGTTGGATACACCCTCGTATCAATCGGACGTCTTGACGAGCTTGGATACTCCGTCACTTTTGCAGACGGCACATGTGTAATCCGCGATCCCGATGAGGAAGTTGTGGGACAAATTCCCAAGTCCGGGCGTGGGCTCTATCGCGTTGTCCATCAAGCCGATGGTAACAGCACAAATGCTGCGGTGGAGACTATCACTGTCATGGAGCTGCACAAACACATGGGGCATATCGCCCCATCCGTTGCACGACGACTAGCCGAGAATGGGCTTGTCTCCGGTGTCAAGGTTGACTTATCCTCTGGGGAGACCACGTTCTGTGAATCCTGCGTGTATGCCAAGGCAACACGCAAGCCTGTTGCCAAGGTTCGAGAGGGTGAACGAGCAAAAGATTTTGCGGGAGAAATACACACCGATTTATGGGGCCCCGCGCCTGTTGCCACCTTGGGAGGACGAAGCTACTATATTAGCTTTACGGATGACAAGACGAGGCTGACTTACATCCACCTTCTTCGTCGCAAGAGTGAAGCCTTCTCCGCCTATCAGGACTTCGAAGCTTGGTGCCGCACTCAGCATGACGCCCATATCAAGGTCCTCCACTCTGATAGAGGAGGAGAATACCTGAGCAAAGAGTTCACCAGTCATCTTAAAGCTGCCGGTACGCAACAGAAACTCACCGTACATGATACCCCGCAGCATAATGGGGTAGCTGAAAGACTCAATCGCACACTCCTCGAGAAAGTTCGTGCGATGTTGCACGACAGTGGGCTCCCACGCAGCCTATGGGGAGAGGCCGTTCGCCACACAGTATGGTTGAAAAATCGTACCCCTACCAAAGCACTTGACGGCGGTACACCCCTCGAGGCCGCCACAGGCAAGAAACCTGACCTTCAGAGACTTCGTCCCTGGGGATCCACTGTTTGGGTACGTGTTGAAGATGGGAGTAAGCTTGGTGGCCGAGTCGTCGAAGGACGGTGGGTTGGCATTGATGAAAACAGTGCGAATGGATGCAGAGTTTACTGGCCAACCAAACGAACAGTCTCTGTTGAACGCAACGTTTATTGGGATCCGTCCCACGTTGAGTCGTTACATCGCGAGGGGGAGGAAGATAATGACGCACCTAACGCGATTATAACACCTTCACTACAGATCCCCAAAGAACAACCCAATGCGTCAACACCAACCCCACAAACTCCAAAGGCCCCAAATCCTTCCAAAATCCCTACCCTTCCAGCTTCGCCGATACTCGAGATGGTTGCTAAGCGAGTCCGAAAACCGAGTCAACGAGTGCTTGATATTATCAAGGAAACTGGTACTGTACCTAAAGGCGTCCAACTACCCCCAACTGCCGAAGAAACACTGAATGAGGGGGAGAATGTAGTAGAACACCTCATGGCCATCTTGGAGGACTCAGACGATGAACCTTGCTCGCTCGACTATGCCATGGCGCTCGGAGAAAAGATCGCAGAAGCCGAAGCCCTCGAACCTAGCACTCTAGCAGAGGCAAAAGGTCGCCCTGACTGGGCACAATGGGAGGCAGGTATACGAGAAGAATTAGCTACCCTTAAGACAGCTGGAACTTGGGAACTCGCAGACTTACCTTCTGGCACTAATCTTGTAGGCTCCAAGTGGGTTTTCCGAGCGAAGAAGGATGCCGCTGGAAACGTCATTCGCCACAAAGCGAGACTTGTCGCCCAAGGATTTTCACAGGTCCCAGGTGTCGATTTCTTCGACACATACGCCCCAGTTGCTACCCTCCCATCTATCCGAACGACTCTCGCACTCGCCGCTCGATTGGACCTAGAACTACACCAAATTGATATCAAGGGCGCATATTTGAATGGAGAACTCACCGGTAACGAAGTCATCTATATGCGCCAACCTCCCGGATTTGAGTCGAAGGATCACCCAACAAAAGTTTGCCGATTGAAGAAAACTCTATATGGATTAAAGCAGAGTGGAAGAAGATGGTATCAGAAGTTGGTAGAGATATTGGTGGATAAGATTGGACTTACTCAATGCGATGTCGACCAAGCTGTGTTCTTCTCACGCTCCGCATCTGACGAACTAACCGTTGTCGTCGTCACGTCGACAACTGCACCATTGCAGCGTCCTCCATGGAGCTCATCACCCAGCTGAAGGACAAGATACACACCTTCGTTGAAATCACCGACTTAGGAGAACTGCATTGGCTACTAGGCATCGAAGTCACCCGGAATCGCGACAACAGAACCCTTTCCCTATCCCAGAAAGCCTATCTCGATTCTATCATTCGTCGTTTCAATTTCGAAGAACTCAAGCCAGTATCAAACCCCATGGAGCCCAGCACAAAGCTTCATTCTGGACAGTCACCAGCCACCGGTGCAGAACACGCTGCCATGCGTCATATCCCCTACCGAGAAGCTGTAGGCTCACTCATGTATGCATCTCTCGGCACTCAGCCCCGATATCTCCTACGCAGTAACCACTGTGTCTCGCTTCTCAAGCAACCCCGGCCAAGTTCACTGGGATGCTGTACGCAGAATCTATCGCTACCTCCTAGGAACAACCACTCTGAAGCTGACTTACGGGGGAGTTGAGAATGTTCTGATAGGATACGCAGATGCTGACGGGAGCATGGGGGAAGATCGAAGAGCTATCTCAGGGTACGCCTTTTTGATTGACGGAGGAGCAGTCTCTTGGTCGTCTAAACGCCAAGATATCATTTCACTCTCGACGACGGAGAGCGAGTACATCGCTGCGACACATGCCTCGAAAGAAGCACTATGGCTTCGATCCTTCATCAGACAGATCTTCAAACCACTCACAGAACCCACCACCCTCTTTTCCGATAACCAATCAGCCATCGCCCTGACCAAAGATCATCAGTATCACGCGCGCACCAAGCATATCGACATCAGATTTCACTTCATCCGCTGGATCATAGAGGAAGGGAAACTCCGACTCATCTACTGTCCTACTGCTGACATGGTCGCCGATACTCTTACGAAAGCGCTACCATCACCCAAGGTCAAGCATTTTGCTTCGCAACTCGGATTACGTGCAGCTTGAGGGGGAGTGTTGGAATAACAAGCACGCACTAAGCCATCAAACCTTATACCCTTGTCTCGTATGTTCACTCTATTGTCTCATACTCGTGCTTTATGCGCTCTTATATGTTGATTCACCTTTTGTACTTGTGACTCCATTGACTGCTTTGGCCAGTGCCAGGTGTACCATTATGTATGTTTCAGTCTCGTTTACCTCTAACAAGACCCGTTTTCTCTATTTAATCAGTGTATATTGGACTTGATACCTCAGACGTTCACATCCGCGTGCTCGATCTGAGGTATGACACTTTGTTTTCACACATATTCACCTTTGCTAACTAGTCTTAGTGTATCTGTTCTTAATAGGTGAATATTGATTAGACGTTCACATCCGCGTGCTCGATCTGAGTGTATCTGTTCTTAATAGATCCACGCGAGAAGCTTGTACTAAGCTAAAACCGGGGTTGTCTAAGGGCGATGAATCTGACGATGCGAAAGTGCTGTCTGAAAGTTCTGGGTTTATGGGTTTTTTTCTTTATAAAGCGCCCTTTCTTGTCTCTGGGCAGTGGTTTTCGTAGGGGATGCAGTTTGGCTGTAGTTGGGGGGATTTAGTGAAAAAAACGGTTTTTTATACTGAATGAAGGCTATGCTTTGGTACGTTTTCCTCGTGTTCTGACACGAGGTATGACGTTCTCTGTACTCGGTTTGACTCTTGTTACTCTGGCTCTGCTCTGTGCTCTATGCTCTGCTCTGTGTTCTATGCTCTGCTCTGTGCTCGAAAAAAAGTAAAGGAAAATTGGGACGCTCTCGCTCTGTTCACCAGTTGGAGTGGGCTGTGCTCTATGAGTGCGCTGGACCTCTACAACGAAGTGATGCCGTGCTACTGCTCCCGAGACTCTATCTAACCTTCTAGCTGTGCTCCAAACACCGCCAAACACCTCTGCGACCTGACCTCCTCCCTAGGGGTCCCCTACTCCACTGGGTTGTTCATCTGTCGCGTGCTCCAAATCCATGGAACGACACTCTCAAGCACATATTCCATGTTTTCTGGAATCGTCACCTCCTTTCCTGGCTCGAACGGCAATGGTGTTTGAAGGGACTGCGGTCTTGTCTTGATATTTTATCCGAGGGCAGAAACTTGCGAAGGATATTGCCTTGCTTCAGGTTTGATTTTTTTTTTTCATTTCGTGAAACCTCTTTTAATTCTCTGTCATCCTCAGTTTGAACCTTCAACGCACAGCCTAATGAACGGTTCTCAGCCATCGGTCCCAATTCCCGACACTCAACAACAGGAGCTTCGACCACCCCTCCCCTCTCCGAGGCCCAACACCGCTGTCCTCCATGTTGGCACATCCAGAAAGCGAACTCCGGATGAGTTTCCGGTCAATAGCAACAGCGCACTCGAATCGGACACCTCTAATGGCCCATCAAAAACGTCGGAAATGAATTCAACAGTGTTTGCTACGTATGACTGGCAGGAACACCAGTAGGACGCGGATAATATTTATGTAGTTTACCGCTTGTTGTCTCCAAGCATCTGCCAGCGTCATGATGTACTTATTTCGTGGTTGTTTAGTCAAGTATCTTCGCGTTCACTTTTTGTTGCGTTCTGTATCAATCCATAGTACTAGATTTTAGTTTTATACCAGCAGAATAGCCTTTGTACACTTGTTGTAAACTCTCTTTATACGCCAATAGGATTTGCCTTGTAATTAAGGCCTCGTGTCGGACATCCCTATGCGTAGAGCCTGCCAGCAGTATCGAATTTGGTTGTACATATGTATATTCTGTTGTACATGAGCTACCGGCCTGGCAGAGAAGCTTGCGAAGGCTGTTCCGATGATGAAGTCGAGTTACTGGACTCTACTGTGAAGCGAGGATTCGTATCGCCAACAGCTACGAATAGTATAGGATATGAGAGGGGACATTTTCCCCATGTAGAACAAATATACAATGCATTCTATCAATAAAAATGTGCCAAAGGCAGCCGATATACGTCACGTCCTCGTCCGCAACAAGAACGCGGTTCCGTTCTATTCGTCTGTCGTTTCTCAGTGTTCCCATATTGAGTTTCCGGCGATCACATTTTTAACTCAGGAATCTTGCTTGAGGTCTTGCATGGACAACCCATCAGTCTCGCGAATTACCGACGTTGCATCAATCCTGTGTACAGCAAGAAAGACGTTTTTCAAATTCGATCACAATACCCAAACATCGCTCCAGCTATATCCTACACCGCGAGTTGTCAAAGCGTGCCTCGATACTACTTACTTACCAGGATAGTAATCCCACATCAATTGAATTTGTTTGTGATGTCTTTTCCCGGCCCTTTTCCAGTCCCCTCATGGCGCTTGTACAATGCCAACTTGCCATCCTTTGACACCAAACTCAAGCCTACCCCCCACATCTTCCTTTTTCGCAGCATCTAAGATATCCTGAAGCACGAGTTTTCAACTTCGCGACACCCTGCTCAGCACGGCGGGCATGTGTCTGCATGCTCACCGAGCCAAGCTCTACTTTCTCCAGGGTGTTGAAGTTGCCGCGTTCGTGCTTCGCGATATACAAGAATGCTGTCTGAGAAAGATAGAGCTGTGGATAAATTTCTGCCCAGTCGATCTCTCGGTGGGCAGCGCGTGTCTTGAGCTCGATGAGAGAGGCTTGCGGGACGACTTTGCGTGGAGTTGTTTGGGTGATGGATACGCCACGGACGGTTGGCACCGTGGCTTGAGGCTTCTTAGTGTCCCGGGTTCTGGAGGCAGACGCTCCGCCAATACCCAGGCCTGAGAAGGCTGCTAGGAGGTCGTCCTCGTCGTTCGTGTCATTGGTAGAAGACGTGCATGCCTCAATCGTGAAACGAAGTAGAATCTTCAGTCCACCGATGTCCTGTCAAATGCATTATATTGCGAGTGACCCGACTGAGGATGCAAGAGTCTTACGATGGAAATCATGCGATGATGTCCAGTAGCTCTCTCGCAGCCGCGAGTGACTCTCGTGGCCGCTTTCTCATACTCATGTCCATACCCCATAAAGCCTTGCACGGTGTCCGTGTTCTGTGCCTCAAGGCGCGTGAACAAGCACGTCGAGCCTGCTACATCGATATCGATGCGGAAGTCATTCTCATCCGATGAGCCACTGGCCCAGCGGAGAAGTTTACGAAGGTTGTTGCGGTCCGTGATGAAGTCGAACTGCTTGTAATCAAAACTAGGATTCATATCATCGATGGCTGCGAATAGCGGGATGAGGGGGACATTTTTCGCATGTAGAATGCATTTTGGTCTATAAAGCGTGTTCCAGAGTCAGCAGGGACGCGCTTGGGGCCTGTGAACCAGACTCTGGGAGAACCTATGCGACATCAGCAGGACGTTGATCAACCTGATCTTACTCAGACGTGGACTATATGCTTACCAGGGACGGCGATCGTTGGCGTTGCAGCCTCGATCCACGAGTATGAAGCAATGGGCTTGACGTTTATAATTTCTACAGGACTAAGAGTATCCGTGCTCCGTTTGAACTTGGCTTACCTTGTCTGCAAGATCTTTGAGGATGAAGGAGGTGTCAGGTTGTGAGGACTCTGTTACTCTGGGAGGGCGAAAGGGGTATGCCCGACGTGTACCAGCTGGGGCATTTTGCAAGGTAGACATTGTGAGTTGGAGGAGTGATTTGTGGGGAGAGAAAGCAAGAGAGCAGTCGATAGATAAGACTCGAAGAGCTCACCCGAAAAAGGGGTGCGACGATCACTGTTTGCGCCCACCATGCGCTGCAATAAGGCTGTGTACTGCTGTATATGATCAATCCTAGACTTGTGACCTGTGTACTAGTACGAAGGAAGCCTGCGAAGGTTTGCCTTGTGACATGATCGCGGATCTAATATTGCCCAGCGGCACGAGAGCGCTCAAACCTAATAATCAACGTCCATGATGGCAGTCATGACACGGTTCGGAGATTTCCGATGGATATTTCTGCTGGAACGGCCGAAAAATCAGAATGTAGGCTGTCAAATATCATATCGCAAGACGAAACGGTCAGCCTCCGAGTCAGGAATAATGATGTGTTTGGGATGAGCGACGTTGAAAACAATGGAGAGAAACTCGTTTGGGATTCCCCAATATTGTTTGTGCGTGTGGATGATCCGGAGGCAAGCAATCTCTTGGACTGTGCAGGTTCGAAACCGGAATACACCTTGACCTTGACTCATGGATGGTTTCCTCGGAGGTCCATCTAACTGGTCTTAGCCGAGTGGTCACTGTAACAGAGTGAAAATCTGTTTCTCTTCGAGTTGGTTCGAAACCTGCTGACAATATTTTTGTGGTGTATAGATCCTCGAGGGGTCCATGTAGGCCCAGTCACTTGCGCCGAAACCTCCTTTTTCTACACGACTCGGAGATACCGCCGACGACGACGTCATGCTGTGTTGTTATCATTTCCCCTCTCGTCGATGGATTTTCAATGACAAAATTCTAGACAAATTGCTGATTTTCGTAAGTAACATATGACACAACTGATAAGAATCTTATTTTAGTTCAGACCAAGAGGTGTGCGTTCGCAAAATCCCGAACATAGGGCTCAACTTTACATAAGCTTAAAACCTTAAAACATAGCCACACGAAGTTTCGAGAGCACTGTATCTGAGGTTCTCGATGGTGACTTCCGAGTTGCATAAAATCGTTAACTCGATACTGGAAGAGGGGTTTTTTTCTCGTCTAGAATACATTTAGATAGACAGTTTAATAAAACTCGCTTGTGGGATGACGCTGCCCTACTACCGAGTGATTTTGAAGCAAAAAAACTAGCCACGTGATTTATATAATTAACGCGTCGATATCAATATACGCGTCGCGTCTCATATGTATCCCTGTCGCATCGCACCACCACTTGTACTCTCTTTAAACTATAGACTTATTCATTATGTATTCAAACCAGCACAATCTGTATAACAGCATCCAACAGCATCATGACAGCACGCCGCATAATGACCATTATTCATATCAAACTACGGAACCGAGATCCAATCATCCTTCACAGTTTTTCGATACCCAGCATTCATCCGGACACTCGCAAAGCCCTCTCATAGACTTCGAAATACCATCACATGCAGAACCAGAACCAGAATCCGATACATGCTACTATGCACCTTATTCTCCTGACTATGATTCTGGTTACTCGGTCAATACGTCTGATAACGAGGATCGTGATCCGCTCAACTGGCAGCCTCCTATTATCGAAACGGACTTCACCAATATCGACGAAGCGCTCGAACTTAAATTAAATACTGCAGACTCACTCTATCGATTATTCAAGGCAGGAAAACTCAAAGTCCAGGTCGGCCCTCAGCAGAGATGGGCCATACTTTGCCCAGATTGTGATGAATGGTGCCAAACGAGTACTCACTCCTCCATTGCACTCTGGATCGAAGGCCAATTTATACCATTGAGGAACCACCGCGGCAGTAAGAAGTGCGCCCAGACCGTGACTAATAAACAAAAGCAGCATGTTCGGAACGTGTCTGATGAGCCAACCCCTCGTTCACTCGTGGCATTCTCACATCAAAAACAGGTGCGCTTCATTTTAAATTCTATACATGTAATATAAATGTTGCTCGCTTACAGTCAACCGCCTCCCGGGCCCTCCCTTGATTATAACCTTTGCGCAGGAGTCCCAATCATCTGGCCAGAGGATATGCGTCCTTTGGTCATGCTCTTTCCATGGGAACGTTACCATGATGGCCAGGATGGCCTACCATTCACTATCGACACTTGGGTTTGCTTGGCTACGTGTTTTCCGAAGTGCCCGTTCATGTATTTGTAGCTTACTCGCGCTCATTTGCTCCTCCCTCGCGTCAATACTAGGACTTTGTTTGCATTGAGAGTGCGTGACTAAGCTACCTAATATGGTATAATTGCGGTGATCGTCACGCCGTGACAGTAGGGGGGGGGGGGGGGGGGCTCTGAAGTTTCTCCGGGTGTATATCCGATATTCTAGTTTTGCACACCTCTTGGTTCAGACAGCCTGAAAGAAGCTGTGCAGACCGCTACCATGTTAATTAATACGTATCCTGGAGTATGTAACCTCTCGGTAAAAATGGGATTGTCAGAAACGCGCGTGTGCACGTAGTCGCGCTGCAATATTGTCGCTTCCTCAAAGTCCAACTTCTCAATACATTTGAAAGCCACTGCATCCCCCGCATTCCATACAGACCATTCGTCATGGACAGTGAGTCAAAGACAGTTTCCTCTGCGACTCGCATATGCAACTACATTTGATGGATGTCGCGGTTTGACGCTAGCGCAAATCGTGCTCGACCTTTGGACTGATTCCTTCGCTCACGGTCGATTGTGTACAGCGTTGTCAAGAGTGAGAACGCGAAGGGACACTGTCTATTTGCAGAGACGATGCTAATATAGTATTTCCTGAGTTGCTACTGTAAATACAATATAAAATATTGTCGTGCAGCCAATCGAAGGGGAGTCCTTGTGTAGTATATAATAATGCATAACTCTATGAAGCTCTGTATTATGAGAATGTCAACTATATGTCAGTTTGCAGAACACCACGAACGTGCAGAATACAACCAAAAAGCGAACGAAAACAGATAATGCAAAATAATAATAAAATGGATCGAAAATGTCAGTTGAAGTGAGGCAGATCAAGCCACGAGAGAGACTAGTTTATCGCTACATTCGAGCTTCGAAGCGATCCGATAGAGTCTCTCAGGCTCATTCTGGAACCCAGCACCCCTGAGCATGATAGCCATATAGTCAAACGCATTGGGAGTATCGATGGCAACATCATTCAAAAGTTCTGCCGTGGACATGAACCCCTTCTCAAATGCCTCGAGCGTACACTGTCCGTTACTCGTAGCCTGCGCGAAGAAATCACCGACCAACCTCGCATCCGCCTCCTTGCTCTCGAGTGCGGACGCAACCAGCTTGTCCACGAGCCGGAAGCGGTGCTCGTCGGGAAGATTGAAGTAGACCTCGGCCTCTTGAAGACTGCGAACAGCAAAGAACTCTTTCACATCTTCATCAATCTTCTTCTTGACGTCTGCTTCATTACCAGCCTTGCGAGGCGCCTGCGGAACATAGTCACTGACAACAACCCAGCCATCAGGGTTATCCTCTTGGTTGCAGTCATCCCCCCTTCGAGATCCACCGCGAGACATGTTCAGCTGACGGTTGAAACACTCCTCTGCAGTTGCTTTCTCCTCGGCGGCCTGTAACACGAGTATCAATATATTAATTTTCAACGACGCCAATCTAATAAATCTATCTTACCAGCCGCGTGTGAACAGCCGCAATCGTCATAGGTGCAGCATCGCGGCTCATCCATGCACGATAACGCAACTCTATGACGTCCTAAAATCGCGATGATGAGAACAACTGACAAAGATACCAGAAAAAATGCCACACCTGAAGAATGAACTGCATACGAGTGCTGATATTATGGCTCTTACCGAGCTCCGCTTCATTAACAGCCTTGGGAGGCGCCTGCGGAACATAGTCACTGACAACAACCCAGCCATCTGTGATATCCTCTTGGTTGCAGTCATCGCCCCTTCGAGATCTACCGCGAGACATGTTCATCTGACGGTTGAAACACTCCTCTGCAGTTGCTTTCTCCTCGGCGGCCTGTAACACGAGTGTCAATATATTAATTTTCAACGACGCCAATCTAATAAATCTATCTTACCAGCCGCGTGTGAATAGCCGCAATCGTCATAGGCGCAGCATCGCGGCTCATCCATGCGCGGTCACGCAACTCGATGACGTCCTAAAATCGCGATAGTGAGAACAACTGACAAAGATACCCGAATAAATGTCACACCTGAAGCATGAACTGCATACGAGTGCTGATATTATGGCTCTTACCGAGTTCCTTCATGCGCGAGAAGAAAATGTCCATATGCGCGCGGGCTCTCGGCGTGTCAAGCAATTGGCCAACCGTCTTCAATAGCTGACACAAGCTCTCAATCTTCTCTTCCTCGGGGTTCTCGACGTTGACTAACAGCTGCTTCACACACTCGTGCATGATACGCTCTGTGAGCATCTGCAGCTTGAACAGCTCGCCGATGAACTTGATCAGACCAAGACCCTGGCGCTTCGCCTTCTGTGCAGCGTAGTACTCGTTTGAATAGAGCTCAGCTTTCTCGGTGCTTTTCTTGTCGTTAGCAGCCTTAGTTGCGTGATCGTCGGAAGTGTCCACAGCGGCTGCAGCAGGAGCTTCCTTGGCGAACCACCCGCGCTCAAAGTCTTCTTGACAGCGGTTGAGGAGATATTTCCGGAACAGCTGTCCGCCAGCAATAGGCTCGCCCTCTGTGTTCTTGATCCCATCATCCTGTACTTCAGGACTGATCTGCTCCATCATCTTCCGACACAGCCGCGCGTACACCTCGCTCCAAGCAGCCTCATCAGTCGCCTTCTCGAACACCAGCCGGATGACTTGGGTGAGCGTCCGCCCATCCTTCTCATTCACGCTCCGGTTGGCCCAGTGGATGATCTGGTCTGAAATCGTCTCGAATTTCTCCATCGAGAGCTTGTTGAGCAGCGCCTTGACCTTACGGTCCACCAGGTCAGGTGAATCAACATCAGGTTGAGCCTTGCGGGTCGTACGCGTGGGCACCCAACGGTTGGCAGACAATTCGAGAGGTACAACGGGCTCAAAGCCAGCACCCAGGATAGATGCAGCGCCACAGCCAGATCTAAGTCCTTTCTGGGACACCGGTATCTTGTTAGGGTCAACACGCCTCTCGGCCCTGGTGAGTCTACAGCCATACCTGGGGCGGGCAGAGCCGCCCATGCCGGGCGTGCGCACCATCGGGGAACGGAATTGGGAAGAAGCACTGCTAGTTGAAGAGGAACGGGAGTTGAGGATGGCAAACCGCTCCTCGCTGGTAAGTCTCCCTGGGGGAAGGGGATCCCCCATCTGGTAACCGCTTGGGGGTTTCTGGAAGCCACCGATACCCAGACCTGCAGAACCCTGGCGGTTGGCAGAAACGGGCATCGCACCAGAGACGCTGCGACGTCCAGAGCCACCGCGGGCCATGGGAAACGAAACTTGATCGACGGGTTCAATGCCAAGGACATCCAGAGCAGGAAGGGTGGGCGGTTTTTCCTTGCAAATGTGCACAAACTGCATAAGGAAGTCATGGTCGTACCTATACGAAGCAATGGATGAGACATTCAAAGTAAAAGAGGTAAGACACACCTGAATCGGCCATCCCTGACGTTCACATTGAGCTCAATTCTTGGGCTCTTGATGCCTTCGGGGTACGCAACCTCGCTGAGATTCTCGATGACACGTGCGGTGAGGAGTGCAGAAGGGGGAGGGGTAGAAACATCTCTCTTCGCTGAAGCAAGGTCGAGAGGGCCAGAAAGTTTTTGTGTAATCTCTGTGGGAGGGGGCATCGGGGTGTGTGATTCAGCAGTGGCACAGCTAGTTGAGGCAAGACGGACGTTGGATGACATGACAAAACGTTCTTCGCTGGTAAGTTTTATTCCTGGGGACTGGGAATTGTCCATCTAGAATCCGCTTGGAACGGAGAGTTTCTGATAATCGACGTCAGGTTGACTCGACTGCTCATGGTGAGAAGCTGGAGACCGGCCCCGCCCAATCTGCCAGACGATGCAAAGATAGAACTTGATCCATCTTGCTGCACATGAAATCGTCCGATGGGTCTCCCAAGGCTGGACAAGTACAACTCCTTGCAATGGAGCTTGCTTAAATTGATACTTGCTGGACAAGAAGAAAGTGCATCATGGCGGCCAAACCACGAGAGAGACAAGCTTGGCGCTATCTTCGAAGCGATCCGGTGCCGGGTGGAGTCTCTCAGGCCCATTCAGGAACCCAGCACCCCTGAGCATGATAGCCATATAATCATTCGCAACAGCCCTCCGGGCATCTTGGCAATCTATTATGTAACGAGGCACGAGCGAAAGAATAGAGTAAGGTCTTCGAGCGAACAGCAGATGCGGCACCAATCCTCTTGACTTCGTGCCGCGACCATCGTTCGTCACTGCGCATCAGTAAATCACAAATTTCTCCACAGAATGTACACAAATCATGTTCCCACGACAGTGAGCCACAGAGTCCACAGTTCTGCCAAAGTCACAGCCAACAGTGGCTGCAAAGTATACATTGTCTCCAGTTACTCACAGTTCTACAGTATAATTCAAGAATTTATCAACTAATATAGGTAGTAGTTACATAGTACTTTTCTCTAGGTCTATATGACTCAGTTTCGTACGATATGACTTGGCTTCAAATTGAATGATCAAACTTAAACAGCCGCAGTGAAGATAGTTTAAGATCTGAGTGAGACGCATATGTTCATTCACGCCTGAGAGGACATACAACAAATAACACTGCATAGCGAAATATTCATGCAACAACAGCATATACATAAGTTGAGTATCATAATAATGTGAAGAGGGAGCGCTCGGATCAATCAAGCTGGACGGTGAGGTGACGACCACGTTCAGTATCTTCTACTGGGATAATCAACCTCCTGCATCAAGTTTCGTATCGTTAGCTTACCAGTTTGTAGGCGGCCATCGCATGTTTGAGTCGGATGAGGAAAATGACTCCATCCATTCTTCTTAAATGCGATTCGCATGCACCCTAATCCAACATCCGTGTCCTCCAGTCGTTTTTCTGCTTCTTCAGCTCGATATCGGAGTAAGTTTGCCAACACTTCGTTCTCGCGTATTATACAGTCCGCCAGTGTCTTTTGCGCTAGATAAACTTGCCGCTTAGCTCTTACAAGGTCCAACACCAGGTTGGCCTCAGAGTCGGTTGGATCCTGTATGGACTGTTAAAATGTAAGGTACATCGAAAAAGCGAATTTCAAGATCGACATCACCAAGGAATTGACAGAATGAAGAACATTGTATATGTCATATGCACCCGATGGTCCTTCGCGATGATGTAAACGGGAGATCTGCTCGTCCATCCCTGATGCGCGTGCTGATAGAGATCGCAGTTTGGTTATGTTCATGGTAGTATTGTTTAAGTCAGTATCGGAAAATGCCGAAATATCGATCAGAAGGTTAATGATGACTGTCGTATGTCTCACCCTTACCCTTATGCCTCAATGTCCATCGTGCGGAAAAATTCTGAAGGACCACACATCTGTCGCTCGCCATATGAGCCAGCCCCGGTCTGGCTGCAACACGTGGCTAGAAGATATCATCAAGCTTAATTCCCTCATTCCACCCTTGGACCCAGTGAATATCGAGCACGACATTTCTCATGAACCAGAACTCGGAGGCGAGGCGATGGTGGTTGACTTTGGTGATGATGGCGGTGAATTCGGTGATGAAGAGAATATCATGGGAGGTGGAATTATGGATGAGGGCGGTGAAGTAACCGAATACTATCCTGACCCTCCACTTGCCTATCAGGATGGCTACACCTTTTTGAACCTATTTGACGCTGACGAAAATAGTGTGTATCGCAAGAACAACCTTTACTATCCATTTAGTGGTCGAAGAGATTGGCAAGTTGCGGCATGGCTGCTTCGTTCGGGCCTGAGCATGGGCAAGATCGATTCCTTCCTATCGCTTGAAATGGTGAGTGTCCGAACTTCATACTGGTTACCATTCCATAACTGTTGGACTTTCTAGATCAAAGAATTACCTTTGTCATTCTCCTCAGCTAAAGAACTACGGGGTCGAGCTGAAATGCTCCCCAGTGGTCCGCGTTGGATGTCCAAAGTAATACCCACATCGCATACAACAAAGTCACCGGTAGTTTTATATTGGCGCGACCCTCTAGAATGCATCGCCAGCATCTTCAACAACCCCATATTTCACAATCGTATTGATTCCAGGCCTCGCAAGGTGTACACTACTGCAGAGAAGCGGTGTCGTGTATATACTGAATGGATGACGGGAAATGATGCTTGGGATATGCAGGTGCGTACCATGTTGACTTTCGGTGTCTCTGGCTTATTTATCCTTGAAGGCGGCTATACCTAGTGGTGCGACCCTCCTCGGTACCATCCTATCCTCCGACAAGACGAACATCACTGCCTTAACAGGTGATCGCGTTGCTCACCCACTTCTTATAAGCCTTGCAAACATACATATGAATATACGTCTAAAATCGTCTTCGAGTGCTTTCGTTCTCACCGCTCTACTACCGGTCCCGAAGTTCGTGCATAAGAAGAAACGAATGAAGGGTGTATTGGAGGATCGCCTCATACATGAATGTTTGGACATCGTTCTTGAACCTCTGAAACAGGCAGCTCGACATGGCATCATGCTATCGGATCCCATTGGCAACAGTCGTTATTGCTTCACCCCGCTTGCCAGTTATATTGCTGACACCCCTGAAGCCATGATGTTAGCAACGGTCGGTGGCAAAACATCGCCAGTGACCATGGCAATGTATAAGCAGTTCGGGGATGCCTTCCAGCATGAACCTCGGACGAAATCCACGACTCTTGCGCAGCTTACAGTTGTGCGTTCACGCGCTGATCCCCTCGATATCGAGGCCTTCTTCCGCGAGGCACAGAAGTTCCGCCTGAATGGGGTTGCTGAGCCGTTCTTTCGAGACTGGATACTCGCGGAACCATCTCATTTCTTTACACCGGAAGACCTTCACCACATTCATAAAGAATTCTGGGACCATGACGCGCAATGGCTCATTTGTGCAGTCGGAGAGTCCGAGATTGATTTCCGGTTTTCTGTTTTGCAGCCGATCACTGGTTATCAGCACTTCCACGGAGGCATTTCGAAACTGAAACAGGTTACCGGTCGTTGTCATCGTGATGTTCAACGATACATCATTGCAGTATGTGCGGACGCAGCTCCTGGTGTTCTCACTGCCGTACGCGCACTCATGCAGTTCCGTTATCGTGTGCAGTCACCACGCATCGACGACGATGATATCAGGCGCATATCAGGCGCATTGGACGAGTTTCATTCAAACAAGGATTCAATTATCGCTGCGGGAGTTCGCCGAGGGAAGGGTAATAGACCTATTGCCAATTGGCATATACCCAAGTTGGAGTTAATGCAGAACATTGTTCCAAGCATTCGCAACTCTGGGGTCATCAGACAGTGGTCTGCGGATGTCACAGAACATGCGCATGTGACTGAAATCAAAGACCCTGCAAGGGCAAGCAACAATCACAACTACGATCCTCAGATATGTCGACACTTGGACCGTGCCGAAAAGTGTCAGCGCTTTGAGCTCGCCACTAGCCTTTTGGATGCAAAACAGACTACTGAGCAGCTGGAGAACATCAACATCGATGCTGACGCTGACGATGCCGATGCCGATGCTGACACTCCAATCGAACTTTCTGCGGTGCAGGAACTCCCACGTCGTCCTGTCATCAGCTATTTTGCCATTGCTAGGGCATTGCAGTACAGACCCCTGGGTTCCGTACCTCTTCCATTACGTTCATTTGTCGTCGGCCGCACTGCATTTCATATTGCATACGATGCGTCCATTAGGAAGATCTCTATCGACGACGTCGCCATCAAATTTTCCCTTCCAGATCTGCGACCAGCTATCGCTGATTTCATTCAGCGTGAGGCGACTTGTGGAGACCAACACATCCATGCAATAGGCGGTCCAAGAAGAGGGGCACATACGGCTATCCTTCCTTTTGACAGGGTTCAAGTCTGGTTCAAAGTTCGCTTACAAGAAACAGAATTTCACGATGCTCACACTATCAGACCAGCTCAAACACTAAATTGTGCCCCACCCTGCCACCCCTGGAATTTAGGTCGTTATGACACAGCTATCGTTCAAACTAGTGCGGGCTTTTCATGGCCTAGTAGTGGACTTTCAGGTGTGAATTCTGTCTTGTGTCACAATACTTGTCTCAGCCTCAACTGTACCCTGTATAGGTCACACTGTCGCCCAGATCAGACTGATCATGCGGCCTATTGGTAAGAGCGGCACATCATGGTCATGGAAAGACCAATTTCTCAGCTACGTGCAACGCTTCGATATCTCGCATGATCGTGATGCAACTATGCAACTTCATGTACTCAAACGCTCAAAACGCTCAAATGGTGTTCGGATGGGGGACGTGATTCCGCTCTCTCAACTAAGGGCGCCTATAAATCTTGTTCCTCGCTTTGGAGCCACTGCAGATAAACAGCCTCACTGTTTATAATAGCATGGAGCATGCCGCGGAGTTTTGGTTGAATGAGTATTGGGAAAAACACACATTCTTCGCCCTATCAGCATAGTATTTGATTCGAGATAAGACCATTTTGTGTGCTATCATTTCTTTACTTTCCATATGTATGCTAGCATGGTTTTTTCGGAGTTCTATGCCTCGTTATGCCAACTGCGAGACACGCCAGAACAATCGACCTAGGGAAAAAACTGTCATCCTTCTTGACAGCTCCCCCCATCCATAATATAAAAGTGATGGATGAACTCACAACTTCTGAACTCAACCGCTTGATACTCCATGAGCCTGCGTTTACCAACAAAGACGAGCTCAGCCATACCTTATCTCTTATATTCCAGTCATGCACCGTTGAAGTCCCCAAAGCGGAGGATCTTGTGGTTCCGTTAAGCAAGATACCCCCCGACAGTCAGCTCGATGATCTGGAAGCTTTTTCTCTGGCTCCAGATGGAGCTCCCATGGTGCCGCTATATAACACTCAAAAGCGTCGATGGAATTGGCCCCTTCCAACAATGCATGGACAGGGACGAACTACGAAAAAAAGTGAGCGAGGAGGAACTGAGAGTGGCACAAAAGAGAAGTCGGGAGAATGGGTGTTGATCGATGAAACGAACAAAACCGAGTTACTAGCCTCTGGGGGGCTGGATGCACCGCTGGCATCTACAAGTGAAGCTACCGAGAGCATGCTGCCATTCGCTGATGCAGACCTTTTGACGGATGAAGGATCGAAGTCAGACGACGGGGAGGACAGGGACTTGGACTGCCTGTCTTCCTCAGCTGTAGCCTCGGAGGGTCCATTAACGACAGAACGCATCTTCTCATCATTCTTCAATGTTGTTTCTACGGCCCTCCTTGCATTGCAGCCTGATCTTGCTCATACACGCAACTTATCACGCACCTGGAGTGCGGCAAATTCATCACGCCCAGTACCTGGTGAAGAAATCCCGCGCAAACCAGATCTTACCCTACTAGACGATGTTGAAGCTAGGTGGGATACGAATCAAAGCGGTATGCGAGTTGACATCCAGCGCATACAAACCTTCGAGCACCCTTGTGAAGACTCTCGATACCAAAGCATACCTTCTTCTAAAGCACCAACCCTGGAGACGGTTTGCGCTGCTGATATCCTTGTGCAATGGGTATCGCGATCTTCGTGTCCACCTGTACGACCATTCCGGAGGTGTCGTAAGCCCTTGCACTAACATCGATCAAGAACCAGACAGATACTTGTATATCTTGTCATGCGTTGTATTTGGTAATCTTGAGTGCATCGGATACGACACCACAATCAGCATATTCGCGCATACACTTCCGCAGACTCTCAAAACACATTCTACTTGCCTCCTGCAGAATGAAGGTTCATCCCAGGACGTCGCACCAACTCACTCCCTGGGCCAGATCGAGAGCACATCCCCCCCCCCAGTTCGAGAGTACATCTTCACTTGCTAGTACCACTCCTCAGATTGACTTGGAGACAGAACCTACCGAGGATAACGCCGATGAAGATGACGGTAGCTTCCCAGTGGAACTCCCAATAGAGATCCCTCAGGATCCTCTTCTCGAACCTCTGCCAGAGCCAATCGGGAAGATACGGGTCAACGACCATTTTTATGACATTTTGGATATTATTTTTTCGAGGCAGGGTCTTGTGGGCCGCGGTACTGTTTGCTATCATGTGAGGAAGAATGATGAGGAGTTTATAATCAAGGACTACTGGGCCATTGGAGGAAATAAAGAAGCCTTGAATGAAATCAAGATGATGGAGAAGATGAAAGGCGTCCGTGGTGTCCCCCAGCTGGTTGAATATTGGCTCGTTGAGGTCACCCCTGGCAAGGTGGATCAAACAGTGGAATATCGCTACAGGTCCGTGCGAAGTCTGCAGGGTACATTCCGTACTCACATTCGCATGGTCTTGAAACCCCGGGGACGACCTTTACACAAATTCCGCACAAAGTACGAGTTGCTGGCCTCGGTACGGGATATCGTGCAAAGTAAGTATCATACATTGTGATGCGCGAGCATTTACTGACCTATCTTTAGTTCAGAAGGAAGCAGTTGAACAACGCAATGTTCTTCACCGCGATTGTAGTCTCTTCAATGCCATGATCGAGGACGATGGTAACGGCACCCACGGAATGCTGATAGATTGGGAGTTTGCCGTGAAGATCTTGAAGAATCAGAGTTACACTGTTGGGGGCACCAGTCAGTATTTCTTTTGAGTTAGTTGAGAAATCAACGTTGAACGTTGTATTTAGGGCACATTACCCTTCATGTCCCGAGCACTTCTCCTGCAGCTCCACCTCAAGACTCCAACTGATGTGCTCGAGCTTAAGGGGGCCTCAAGTTCGAGACCATACCCACCCCCCCTAATCAAGCACTGCTACCAAGACGACCTCGAGTCCATGTTCTATGTCTTCATATGGATTCTCATCGAGTTCAGGGGTCCCCTTGGCATGAAGCGTATTCTCGACAAGAGCCACAATTGGATACCGCACGAGTGGTCTGCCTCGAAGTTCAAGACATGCTGCGATAGTAAAACATCATTTTTTTGGCACGATGAGCACTACGTCAAGGAGCTTACTGAACAAATCCATCCATACTTCAAAAGCCTCATTCCTGTTGTGTTGGATTGGTATGAGCTCATGAAAAACCCGAAAAAACGTGCATTTCGACGACGTGCTTACGGTGTTGAATAAACATCTTGCGGACCTTCCGATGGATGAGCCCTCACCCGAACTCCTGGTTTCAAGGTGGTTGCTCAGGGCACTCAAGGAACAGGATGAGAAAGATGAGAAGGAGGGCCCAAGTGTTGAGGAAAAGATGTCACAGTCGGTTGCTGGGACTCTGCCGGGCAACAAGAACAAGCGAGTCATAGATTATCGATGGACGATGGAAGCTATGCCCAAGCCGAAGAGGTCCAAGACTCGGAGATAGGAACTTGAAAACGCATCTGATTCATTATGTCATTTCAATTGGATTTGTTTGAGTCACTGATGATATATATAATCGCGCTAACCTCCGCACAACATGATACCATACGACTACATCATTACTCAACCACATGCATTTGTATCATGCCTGCAGGCCAACACTCGACTAATATCTCTGAACACGTTGATTCTGACTTCACTAAAATTCCACGCTGTTACCCACGCTGAGCTCGAGTCATAGTAATTGCGATACATTCCTTATTAAAAGCCATCAAGGTAAGTTTTTTGTTTCCTTCGTGCCAGTTTCTCCCTGGTGTCAGCCTCAGATGCCATCTCAACGTCAGGACCCAGCTCGCACTAGCCCTAAGAAGAGGAAGACAAAGCGCAAAGCCGCGGATTCTGATGGGCAAGATGTGTCAACCAAGAAATCGCGGGCTGAGGCTGAAGCACCCATCGCGTCGCAGCAGCCTACTCGACGTTCTGGACGTCCTGGTGCTGGAACAGGAGGTAGAGTTAGTCAACTCGAGATCATTGGAGCACTCTTGGGTGCCCCAGCACGTACCAGCCAGCCCAAAGGCTCCACCTCCCTCGACTCTAGTATCCCTACCAATCCGCTTGCTCCAGAACCGCCTCGCAAGAGAGGCCGGATGAAGGTTTTTTTCGTTTTTACTTGTAGTAACAGACTGATCACTCTGAATACATCAGAAGCCCCCTCCACCATATAGTGCCTCTGGCAAGCCGATGGATTCTGTGCCTTTGAGACCACAGGGGGAAAAAGCTACAGTGGCGAAGAAACCTGCTCCCGTTGCCTCAACTGTCGAGTCCATGGATTCTGCGCCTTCGAAACCACGGGGAAAAAAGCTACATTGACGAAGAAAACTACTCCCGTTGCCTCGACTGTCGAGCCCCCAAACCTCCAACCCAGTTTCGTACATCGTGAAGCGGGTGCACGCTTTGGTTTTTCTCAGTTCATCGTTCCCCCTGGTACAGAGCCTGACCTGCAGGCACTCAACAACCCTTTTGTGGCTGCAGCCAGGGAGAAGCAGGCTCTTTCAGCAGGTCTAGCTGCACGTCAGCCTGATGCTAACTCAGACTTATTCCAGAACCTAGATCCTACCCTTCGGCCAGTCAACAACGGACCGCAAGATTCAGGAGCTGAAAGCACGGAGACATCTAGTGAGGGTGGCGATGGAAATACTGACGACGACGACAACGACGACGAAGATCACACGGACAATGAAGTTGGCTGGGGAGCAGCGCAGGGGCGCGTGACTGAACATCCTGGTAAGCAAATCAATGATCACCATCATGACATACTAAACGAGCGACAGGTTTCTCAAAAGAAGATTTACCGTCTCAACCCCATGTCGCTCGTGCTCTTCCAACCGACTTCGATTTTCAATATTCACGTGATGAAGGTGACATTAACGCAGAAAGATCTTTGGCAGATGATATCTCCAGTACTGATGATACCGCGACCAAGGTATAGTTTATTTAGTTTCCTGAAAGCCTACTAATTTTCTGTTTGTTTGGCAGCTGGCTGAACCTAAGCCAGATGATGTCTTACAGCGCCACCACCAGAAAAATGGACGCCCTCAACTTCCTGATCCACAAGTTCTTGACCTCCTACGTCACGCTGAGACAAAGTCTTCCAAGTCAAAGGACACAAACGTCAAGACTACATCAGCAAAAGTGAAGGAATCAGGTGATGGGCCTAGAGCCACTCAACTAGGCTGGTATGGTCCACGATGGAAAAACTTCCTTGAGGTTACAAAGAGCGAGTGCCGCGCCCAACACGCGATAGAGAACCCATTCCCCAAACTAGCGAAAGATTTGACAGGTTCCATCAACGAGATACTCATGGCTTCGCTCGTCGAATGGCTCGAGGGTGGTCAACAAGTCGAAGAGGGTAGGTCTTTTTTGCTGTCGAGATATTTTACTGACGTGTCTACCAGGTATTTGGCCTGATCGCAAGCATGATATGGCAAAACTGGTGTGTGCATTCATTGGCACGCATCCGATATCTAACGTGCTGTTATGTTAGCTGTATGAGGATTTATCAACGTGGCGCTCGGACCTCAAGAAGACCGTTGCCAGTATTGTGCCCTCCATGTACGACCTCATACCTCCATCTCATGTCCCACCCCAACAATGTGCTGCCTGGGTTGAAGAAGCTGCCACGGAGTTGCTCAAAGACGCTATTTTCTTACGCAACGGTGTAGATGAAAATGGGAAAACCGAAAAACGCCTCTCATCCTGTGCTCCGCGAGGCTTCTATCTCTTTCTTCTATACAGGGTCTTACCGTGTTGCTCGCAGGAGACCTGAGGTCTTCCAGAAGTCTTTACCGCTAGAGTGCTTGGCACTGGTTTGCACCGCGGTATTTTTTCGTCCTTCCATGTCCTACTAACAACACACTGACCACATGTTTGATAGGTTAATTGTGTCCTAGATGGCTTTGCTAAGAACGGCAGCGGAAAATCATTTCCGAAGTTCACCGCAAAGGAATACTCTTCTTTGTATACTGCTATGCTCACTAACCTGGAATCGATCATGCGTGACCCTTACCATGGACCGAAATTAGCGCGGCAACTTCGTTCCTGGGCTGCAGCTGGATGGCAAGGAGTTTTTGCTTTCGAAGTATTGCATGCTGATGAAGTTCTCACAGGGCGGAGTCCTACAAAGTCGACGGCAATGTGAATGACGCTTCGAGACATTCTCATTTGAAAATCATCCTTGATTGACGTCTTTCTATTCTTGACATTATTGCCCCGCATTGATTCTATCTCGAGCGTCGTTTAGTGTAGTATGCATCTGATTGAATGCTATTATTGATTTTGTCGATTTTTTGCTTGTGTGTACATGTGTGAACAGTCGAGCAGCTAGCAGCAGCGGCACAATTATATTTTATTGGTACAAGAGCCCTTCTCTGGGTGTCTGTGAGTTATCTGTACAGAGATCTACAGAGTGAAGTAGTACTGTAGTGAGCTGTATAGAAGGGACCAAGCTGTCGGCCTGTCACACTGTACAGTTCTGTACAGTTCTGTACAGAACCGAGTGATTTACTGATGCGTAGCTATCTGTGCTCGTTTTTATTTTCCACAAACACACAAGACAATAGAATAATACTAGAACCATACACCCTCATTTCATATACCAAATCTTACAATGCCCTTAGCCGCAGACCCATCACTCGAAGTCATCCCAGACTTCGCAGGTAACCTATATGCCAGAATTCGCACAGACCTCGCAGACGCCACGAACCAAACTGAAGAGCAAGTTATAGACCATCTAACGCAGACATGGAACGCAGACCATGACACAAGAGTAACTGAATGGAACCAGGACCAAGAGGCGGAAGCCCAAGCCGCAGCAGAAGCCGAGAGGGCACGAGTCACCCAAGATGAAGCAGAGCGAGTCCAACGGGAAGCAGAAACTGGAAAAGGAACGCCTGGAGACAGAGAAAAAGAAACCAAAAATGAATGGGTTCGAGGAAGCCTCCACTGTAGGAGACTTTTTAGCTCCTCGTCCCGCGCAATATGCGATTCAAAAACTCACCAACTTTGAATACGTAGAACTCTGGTACTTCTCACCAGATGGATGCAGAGATGCCCTCAAAACATCACGTTCTACAGCGGAGAACGATTTGAGCATCACAAGGACAGACGACCAACTCATGTTGCGCCCAACCTCAACTTTCAAGGCATCAAAATCAGCACTGGCTGACCACGAACTTCCATTCTCAATCTTCCTCCGAGCAAAGAACTTATTCCTCGTCCAAATCAGCAAGGCCAAGTGGCCCCAGTCACACATTGACGCCCTGTCTCTTTTCTTCTGGCACCTGGAAAACCACTCCATACGGAACAACAGCGACATCGGAGACACGGTCGTCCTGACCTACGCATCCCGAGTACGCCATGACTGGCATGACCGTCTCAAATGCGACGAAGGTTTTAACATAGGCAACATCAACGAGAACCTTCTCCGGGTAATCAACAAGGAGCTGTGGGACAAGATCCGCTCCCGTACATTAAACGCTGTACGTACCAAAACCCAAACCAACCATAGAGAAACCACTAACCTTTCATCTTTTGTTTTCTCTCACTCATCCAATCCACGCATTGATATCCGCATATCACCCATCCAACATAAATCCCCGCGATGTGTTCCCGCGGATGCCCGTAACCTTGACACGGATGCCCACGACGACCTTCCCGTGGACGCCTGCGATGGCATTCCCGCGGATGCCCGTACTTATTCTAACACGGATGCCCGCACCCATAACGCGGACGCTCACAACTAAACTCGAACACCCACAACCATAATCACCCCACAGCCCACAAGCAGAGAAGCACCCCCAAACCCATATCGAAGGGCCAGCTACCGTGACCCTTGGGGAGGCCCCAATGATCAACGGAACCGCAACTCGCGGTCACGTTCTCCCCAAAGGAACCATGACAGCCAAAGGAACAAGGCTCCAGGATCACCAGACAACACCCGCGATCGCCAACAACGCCGCGGGGGTTTTTCCCGCGGCGCAGGTTCACGAGGCCGGTCTGCCTGTGCCCTCTGTCTCGGCCGTTTTGCCCACGACATCCAACGCTGCGAGGCGCGTGCCATGTGGGACGGCACCAACACCCATTGTCGACGGGCAGGACAACGGGCGCATCACCAACCCTCAAGGCCTTCCCATCTGCTACAAATGGCAACGCCCAGGGGGTTGTCAGCTCCCAAACCACGAATCATACCACGAATGTTCTGGATGTGGGAGCAAGGAACATGGAGCTCAAATGTGCCCTCACAGCGAGAAGGCTCAGAGCACAAACTCCATATGACCCAGAAGGATGGTACCACTTACTTGCAGAAGCAGATCTCCTTCGTAGATACCCGTCCATCCCAGAGGGACTTGTCTCTGGTTTCTCTTGGGGGCATACCCCAAATCACGCGTACCTATACACCTCCTAATAGTCCATCTATCGCCGAATATGCAGAAGTATTCAAGGATATCGTGGAATGTGAGTTCTCGAAGGGACGTTTCATCGGCCCATTCACAGCTGAAGAACTTAAATCATCCATCGGAGACTTCCAAACAGCCCCATTATCACTTGTTCCCAAGCCCGGCAAACCCGGAAAATTTCGTCTCGTACAAAACCTCTCCCACCCAATCAACCCTCTCCCCCTTATCAGCTCAATTAATTCCAGGGTCGACTCTAATCTTTTTCCATGTACATACGGCACGTTCTCTACCATATGCCAAACAATCTGGCACCTTCCTCCAGGCTCCCAAGGAGCCATCCGTGATGTGGCCGAAGCCTACAGAACAGTACCTCTCCACCACTCACAATGGCCAGGACTGGCAGTCCGTCTCAGTGAAGACGGCTTTGTCATCGACACTTCCTTTTGTTTCGGCTTTGGCCCATCTGCAGGTATATATGGGAACATGGCAGACACGGGAGCCGATATATTTAGATCCAAAGGCATTGGTCCCTTGTCAAAATGGGTTGACGACCATCTATTTTTTCGCATCAGAAAAGAATTTATGGAAGAGTACAATAGAAAACGCCAAGTATGGGCAAATGAAATCAAGGGAAACGGGGGAGTTACCACAGATGGCGGGCGCAAATGGTACAAAGGGGAAACACTACCAGACGGATCAACAAGAGAGTTTGACGAAGACACCCTGTTCCCTATCCGGGACTTATCAAACCAGTCCCCACGGTCAACTGAAGACGCAGAATTCACATACTGCATGCAAGACATCGACCTCCTATCAATCATCCTGGGCATCCTCTGGGAGCTCGCCAAAGACAAACCCTTCAGCAATGAGCCGCCCTACATTGGTCTGGTATGGAACATTGCAGCACGGACAGTCGCTCTATCAGCCGAGAAACGTATCAAGTACCTCAAGGCAATTAGCGCATGGCAATCTAAGAGAACTCACACCCTGGAAGAAGTCCAGAAGCTGTACGGAAAGTTACTGCACGCATCTCTCATCACACCAGCAGGGCGCGCTTACCTCACGACCCTGGAAAGAATGCTGGGCATTTTTGAAGACCGTCCGCACATGGCTAGGACCCCTCCACGCAGCACCACAGACAATATCAAGTGGTGGCAGGAAACTCTTTCCTCCCCGCACATTGTTCGACCGATTCCAGGACCCTGCATTGTACATGATTTCAACACCTATTTGGACGCTAGCTCTGGCCACAGGATCGGAATCATCGTCAATGGCAGATGGCGGGCATGGAAACTCTTACCAGGCTGGAAAAGAGATGGACGGGACATTGGTTGGGCGGAAGGCGTCGGTTTCGAGCTTCTTGTCCGAGCCATCACGAACGCTTGCCCCCCCCGGAACTTATTTCAAGGTCTATGGGGATAATTGGGGCATTGTTGAAGGATGGTGGAAAGGATGTACATAGCAGGAGTCGAGCATGCAATGAAATATTCAAGCGTATCCATCAGGTCGCAGCCGATACCAAATGTACAATCCTCACTCGGTACATACCAAGCAAAGAAAACCCCGCAGACGGACCTTCGCGAGGGCAATATCCCCTGGCATGTGACAAGCTTCCTCCCATCCCAATCCCTTCAGAACTGCGCGCCTTCCTCGCAGAAGCACCTGAACATACCTCGCCTTCCACAATCAATCCGACCCCAAGCCGCACCTCCCATTCTGCCCCACCCTTGGCAGCACTTTTTAGTGCTTCCCACGGTCTGTCAGACCCAGTTTTCGTGTATGGCACAACATGTCTCTGAGACATCCCTCTCCCCGGAGGGTCTCCCTCAATTCCTTAAGAGTAACCAGTGTACCCTCATGGGCCTCATTGGAGGGTTAACTGGTTGGCTCTGATTATTGCAGAAGGTGCCTAACAGCCTCCACTACGTCAGCATGGGTCTCTCGCCCCTCGTCAACATAACTTGGAGCCTCTCAGGTGTGCTCCTCGGACCTCCACATATGTTTTCCCTTATGTTATATCTTCATATTTATGTCGGCAGGGGTCTCTCGCCACTCGTCAACATAACTTGGAGCCTCTTGTGCTCCTCTACTTATGTTTTCCCTTATGTTTTATTTCATATCTTCGTCACTCACATTTATGTTTTTCCCCACCCGCTACTTCTCATATGTTTTTTTTGCTTTTGTCGTTGTATTTATGTTGTAAATGTCACTTTCCAATAAAACATATCACGCTCCAGTTTCGCAGCGATTTCGAACAAGTTCTGAAGCAAACCAAAGCAGGCATTGGAGCCGCTATACTGATATTATCAAGACAAGGAAAAATGTAACGACCGCATGTGTAGCTACATAAATAGGGTACGAAAGCGGGACGAGTGTAGGAATGAGCAAACCACCATAGCAAGTTATCAGCATAAACAGACGAAGTAAGCACAAGAAGAAGAACCAAAGAGCAACCCAACCAATGACAAAAGCACGGGTGCATCAAAAGCCGATTATGATGAAGGAGGAGGTGGAGGGAGAGTGTGATCACGACTAAATGCTTGTGGCACAGCATAGTCCGAAGATGAAGATGCAACACTGTGGACGTTGTCCATCCATCTGGAATCCTGGTTACGAGCCCTGCCTTGAGGGTACCCACTGTCACGGTATGGTCCTCCACCAAATCCCCGACGCTCGTCAAGGTCATTGCGTCGAGCATAGTCCGGACCAGGCACTGGGCTGTATCGGCTTGGGTATGAACGTT